TTCACCACTAAAGGAAACAATGTCAATTGAAACAATCTTTGATAATCCATAACCCAAAAGCTTTTTCTCTCTATGTATAACCCAAGGAACATGAATCCGAGTGCTTGAACCAAGGGTTGCAATATTCGATATTTGTGTATGGTCTTGGGTATAGTTTTGCAAATTTGAAAAATAATTAAGGACAAAATAAACATTTGTGCACTTTCGTCAAGAGAGAATGATATATCCAACTTTTAGAAAACAAAAGTGTACTTTAAGGTATTCTTTAAAGTTTAAACATAATGTTATATACTTAACCCTATTTGTAGAAAATAGAATAGTACTTTAAGGTGTTTTTTAAACATATAGGGTATACTTAGTCCATTTTGCAACACCTGTGGATGCTTTAAGTATTTGAACCCTTCTCATGCTCTTACCAAAAAAATCCTTTTTCATATTGCATGCATATTTTTGGGGTAAATTACAATGTGGTCAATGACAATTATCGTTTTAACTTTCATTTGGAACAAAGACCCCCTAAACTTTTACATTGCTTCAAATATCACCCATTAGGGTTCCGTCAATTAACTTTGAAAAAAGATTTCCAACTAGTTGTTTAAAGTTTTCTAAATCCCAAAATGACCTTTAATCCATGTTTTGTTTTTTATTTTATCCATTGTTTTTATAACCTTTAAAACTTAGTGTTTGAAGAATACGAGGATAAACCATAACTATTTTGTTGTTTTATTCATTGACCTTAAATCTCATGGTATCTCTAGTGAGATGGGATGGAGGTGCAACAATAACATTTGATACGTTTTTTTTTTTTTTTCTTGGCGATGGTGAAAAGCTTTAATTCATACTTTATTCTTTCATGACCCCATAGTACATGGGGTCCTTGTAATTTACTTTTTTTTTTCCTATTGCCTACGATGCATTGTTTTAAAAGGTTTGGGCCTTGAGGCGCGAGGCTTATGCCCTGAATCAAGGCATGTGGATTTTGTACTAGATTTCATAATGTGGGAAATACTTTATTCCCCCAACTTATGATATATTGCATTACAAGTGTCTTTTTAGGCCCAAAACTTAATGTGCATGTTTAAGTTATAACCAATGGGTGTGGGCTCGGAGGAAGGATGAAGCCAAGTCTAAAATAGTAATTATTATTGGGCCTTATGGACAAGTTCTCCTTAGATTTGGAGATAAGCTTGACCATAGTATATCCCTTTCCCTATAAGTTTCAATGTAGGAGATGAGACTTTATAATGGGTTGAACCGGATCCGTGTGAGTTCCACACCTTACAAATTCACTCTCTTACACTTGTATTGAGAAACTAATACCAATGTTTTCAACTCGTCGTTGACTTGGCCAGTTGAACTGTTCAAATCGTCACCCGACCAAGATTTCGAGTCTGATTCAGTCAAGACTCATCAAACAATAAAAAAATGTTGACTTGGTCAAGAACCATTTGACCTAGCCGGTTCAACTATTGACCCATTCAACCTCGTGGTCGGGTCGCGAGTTGCACACTCAATGCATGCAAAACTTTTGAAGGCCATAACTTTGCACTCCAATGTCTGATTAGTTTTTTTTTTTTAATTTTGGGTAACTTTTCGAGATCTATGCATCACAAGTTGTCGTAGGCACTTTGCCCCACTACTTCTCGCAAAAAAAAACACTTTTTGGCCTCAAATTACAATTTTTAATATTTTGAATAAATAAAAAATTAAAAACTGAATTAAAAAATATAAATTAAATATAAAATAATACATATAACATATTTATTCACACACACACAGATATACATACATGTATATATATATATATATATATATATATTGTCTAGTTTAATCAGTAAACCTTGACAAATACCTTGTACTAGTACGAGCAAGTTTTTAAAAATGATTCAGCCTCCAGGTTGGTTTTTAAAACTTTGACTAATACAACCAAGTTTTGGAAAATTATAGTACGACTAGTACATTGTCTAGTTTAATCAGTAAAACTATGGTTGAATTAGGATAGCTTATATAACCAACTATTTCTCAATTTTATTGGACCTGTCTCTAGGATCAAAATAAGTTTCTTAATGCCTAAAACAACCCTAGTTGATCAATCGGCATATTATGCTATAACGTTGCTCTATAGTTTATCCATCAACTCTCTCATTATTTGCTTGATACGACCAACATTATGGTGTCTTCTTCAACCTATATTATAAAATACTTTGTACAAGCCAATTGCAACCATGCACTTTTGATGAAATAGATGATGAACCTTGGATATGTAGAGATGGACGGCTGATACTTGGGCACTCCAAACCTGCATAAAAAGAGAAAAGAATAGCTGCCACACGATATGGGATCCAAGATACCTATCTCTCAAACAAAGTGCAAGAGATAACTGCTTAATCTGATTAGAGCTGGAGCAGCAGAGAGGATCTTTTCCTTTTCTCAATAAATGAGCTTATCTCATGTGTACGAAGCAATTGGGATTGACCCCTTTTACAGCCTGCATCTCCAATGCTAAGTTCCCTGTTTTTATGAACAAACAACAACTAAAATAACCAATTGAGATAAGTGCTCATCAACAGTAAAGTTCATGCTCCATCAGATTTGAGACGAGTGTCTCATGTTGACAAAAAATCTAACCACTTGGTCATTTAGTCTACGCTGGGTCAAATGGATATCCATTGACCCATTAAGATCTAGCACTAGGATCCATAATAATCCAATACATCTCTATGCATAAAACATTTTCTAGTAAACAATCAAATAAAATTTATTTGATAGAAAAATAAATAAATAGATAATAATTTAAAGAAAAAAGTGAATGATTGTGTGTGAAGGTATTGCATAGAGATAACCATAAAATAATCATCTTCCATCAACATGTGGCTTGTCACATGGCCATTGGATATTCCAACATGTTGATGATCAAACGAGGGCCTATGGCCACTCTACCATCAATAGATTCATTAGAGGTTGTGTTAAGTGTTTCAAAATTTGCAACACTTCTCAAGGGAACCGGATTTGGAGCAAGAGCAAGATTGTGCCATTTACAATCTCTTATTAGGCATGAGAAGTATTGGTAGTTTGGGTGTGAACTACACAATGACCTACTACACTTGTGGTGGGATATTGTTAGGGGTGCAACTTGGGTGGCCCTATCCCAAAATTTTACATGGGATGGGCTTGGATTTTTGGTCCTCGGGCCAGGCTTGGGCCCAAGAAGTTAGGCTTTTTTATTTGTTGGGCCGGGCCCAGGCCTATCCCTTAAGTAGTCCAAATTTCAGGGTTCATTGACCAACCCGAGTGCATCAAATTATAGTGGGGGGTTAGGCTCATGTTGGAATGTCGAGCTTGACCTTGGGCACGGTCTGGGTTCGGGCATTAAGCCCAAATTTCAGGGTCAGGCCTGGGTTGATCATAAACCTGGTCCAACCCACTTGACTTGCACACCTAAATATTGTATCATGTATAGTGATTAATTTGTTGTCTTTGGTTTAAAAAATATGATGGTTTGCTGTCCACTTTGATCATTGTTTTGGGGAAATTTGTTTTTGTATGCTAAACGTTTTGACGTAATGACAAAATTTCCATTCAAATTTTTAATAGCAAACCATCTACCAAACTACGACCTAATGTATTTCACACATTCCACTACATTAGCATCGTTTATTTGAAAAGCTCCTTAAGGATCTCCCCACTAAGAGAATTGCTAATCAAACTCTTTGCAAGGTTTTCTGCTTTACCACTTTGCTCTCCATGGAATAAATTTCCACTCAAATCGAAATGGTATAGATGCATTAAGCCAAACAATTCGAATAGAATGGATCCATGCATTAAGCCAAACTTGGAATTTTACAAGTTGGAAAATAATTGGAGATATCGAGCTTGGTTAAGCTCTTTATGTTGAAGCATACGAGAGGGTACGCATTGAAAACATACGAGAGGGTACACATTGAAAATTAGAGAGGTGTTTTGTTCTCTCTCTCTATATATCTTTGTAAATGTAAACGAAAATACAGGATGAACTCAACTAAACTAATAAACGACGCTGGTGGCCCTCTCCCTCCTCGTCCTGGAGTGCATCATCACCACATCCTTGGTTCTCTTACCACTCGAATGAAGGAACTTGGACCAAAACCCACCTTTCTTCTTCCCATCCGTAGCTTCTTCCCGTCCATAACTGAGGACAATCATAACCCCCAAAAGAATAGTAATGAATCATGATGTAACTATGGAACCCATGAATCCCAAACTCTTTTGCACCGAAATCCTCGAAATCACCGCAACTAATTTCTCCTCTATTTTTAGGGAGCTCGAATCCACCAAGCAAGGAATCCATAGCAGCATTCTTAGACTAGCAAATTAGAGGGGCGGAGAGAAGGAAAGAGTGAGAAGAGGCGTGACGATGAATAGGCGACACTGTTGGTCTGGTTTTATCAGATGGTTGATAAAGAAAATTAGATGATACTTGAAGGACATTTTTTTTCTTTTTGTTTGCCACTTAACAGCTGGTTAACACTGGGTACTAAATCATCGCAAAATGAAATACAGGGTACCTATCGGAAATTTTCAGTTACTAGATTGTTGTGTTTTAAAGATCAGGTACTGAATGGGCACTCAACCTAAAGTACAGGGTACCTATCGGAAATTTTCCCAATGAAATATATAATTTTTTATCTTTCTTGTATTTTTTTATCCTGTTTCATGTTTAAAATAGTAAACCTGACTAATAATAAATAAGATAATATTAGTTGTTTAACTTATTAGTATAAAAATAAATTAGTATCATTTTGATTATTATTTTCAATATAATGAAGTCTATGATTTGATCCCAATCAAATAATCGGTTGTTTATAGTTATATTTATTTTATTTAAAAAATATAACCTAATCATAAAAAAATTGTATCTCCAAATGACATTTTAAAATTTTCCCCGCTGGTCCCAAGGTACAACACTTGCACGATAAGAGGTGGCATAAAACTGCTTGTGCCTAGCGATATATTGTTTTGAGTGTTAGTTGCAGATCCAAGTGCTAATGCTGTGAACTATGATGCATGAGCGAAAACTGATGCATCCGCAACGTTGCAGCTTTCACGACCAGAGTCCTCTCCGCCTTCAAGAAAGAAACTAGGAAGATCTGAAGAGAGTTAATTATAGGGACAAAATAAACCCTGACCGGCCGAAGCTTGAAGTAAACGCTAGAATGGTGACGGTTGCAGACTCAGAAGAGAAACCTGAGTTATCACCAATGGAAAATCAACAGACGCCATGGATTGAGTACGCAGTTCAGCAGGCTCAGCTTGTCCAGAAAACAATCCAAGAGACAGTCGATTCCACCATAGAAGTCGCTGGATCTCGTCTATCTGAAATACGTTCCACTTCCTCTGCTCATCTCCACCAAACCCTAGTTCGTTTCTCAATTCCCAATTGCTATTGTTGTTGTTGTTGTTATCATTAGAACTATTCGTCACTACTAACTCTGTGTTATGATTGTTCATTTTTTTAATATCTTCAATTTAATCCAAATCTTAACTATATTGGCGTTGTCAAACTATTGAGTTTTAGGACAATCTGCAAGATATCAAGTCTGAGTTCAATACTTATGAAGATGTTTTCTTTGGGAAGATAAAAGGTCCGTTTTTTTCTTTCATTAGCATTATTCGTGAAGCTGGGATTGGCAATATTATGGGTTTCCTTTATTCCAATTCTGTTTCATGTGTATTAAAATATTTCATCTTCTTTTAGTGCAGATGGTTTAACTCTTGCAGCTCTGCATCCTATGATTACGTGTGGCGTGGCAGCTGGAGTGGGGCTCGTGGCATTAAAAAGTATGTTTCATTGTCATTAGCATTTGAATTGTCTACTGGCGTTCCATTCAGAGGCTACTTTTGGTTTTGTAAGATTCGATGAATTTAGGTCTTGATGGTAGGAGAAACTTTCTGCGTTTATTAGATTGGTCTTACCGGTTGGAATATTAATGATCCCGACCAATTTGATTTCCTATTTTGAAAATAAGAAAATTCCCACAGAGAATATGGGACCTAGTTGTATCGGGGTTCTGACATTCTAGGACAGTAGCTATTGTTTATGATTTCCTGTTTCTCTCGTTGCATCACATGTTTGGGGTGTCTATTGTTCAGGGCTTCTCTTGCATCTGCTGTATCAGAACGCAGTTCTTGTATAATGTTTATTCTTTTTTTTGATAAAAAAGGATAAAAGTTTTTCAATCCCCCCATGCCCTTTAAAGGACTATGCAAGAAGGTTTAAGCTAGCAACCTTCTCTCGGTGAAGGGTGTCTTTAGCTGCACTCTCAACCAATGCATCCTCTAATTGATCAACAAAACCTCAGATTATTGCTTTTGATAAGCATGTATATCTAGATGGAACTATGGAATTTGGTCCTCAATTCCAATTATATATTCCTTGCTTTGGTTCTTCAAGATTCAACCTTCTTACTTTATTCCTGTTCATGACTTCATGTATATTCTTTAACTCTATCTCTTTACCATGTCATATTTGTGATTCTATTGAATTTTGAAATTTGCCTCCTATACCTATGAAAGGTTTGCAGTTATGTGATTTCTAAACTGATCAACAGTTTCAGCAGTACTTTGTGTCTTTGATCTTTATTATGTACAGGTTATAGTTTGATATTGTCTTCTATAAATCATCTTTTGTTACCTCAGTTATTTCCTCTTTGCAGGACCAAGGCTTTTCTTATACCACAGTACCCTGCGCCTTTTCATGAGTGAAGAGGTAAGAGTCAAGAACATCAATTTCAATACTGTGTAATCATTTTCCACGTTCAAATTAGTAAATTTTGTCTGCATTATTCATTAGTTCATTTTTTGAGTTCAATCAAATGCTCATTCATACAATGGTTAGAAACTTGATTTAGTACCAGGAAGCTAGTGTATTATTTCAAGTTGAATTTATTGCATATATTTCCTTCACAGGGGTTGTCATGCTTGAGCAAGTATTTTAAGATATGTCTTTTTGATCTTGTTCACCTGTTCCACACTCTATTCATGGAACATTAGATAGGCTATAAACTATTAAAAGGAAAAGAATAGGGTTAGCCTAACATGTGTAAAAAAATTCCCCTTTCCTCAAGTCAAACTGGGAATATAATATAGGATATTTGGTTTATTTTCTTATGGCATTTAATTTAGAGCCTTCTTTTTTTTTTCCTGAATTGTAGTTTATTGTTGCATATCAAAAAAAGGAAAAAAATCTTTTATTGTTTATCTCATTCTGACCTTTTTGGTGACATCAACTTTGTAAATCTTCAAGTTGTAATATTCCTTGTTTGTCTAAGTCTATTTTATTTTATTTTTCTTTCACACAGTTTCCATTTGAAAAATTTGTTTTAATACATTCTATTAATTAATAAAAAAGTGTATCTAAAGTATTGCCTGGTGGCAACCTAGGATTCTTAAGGCCTATCACCTAGGTGACCAACTAGTTGGATGGGTATTATCATTATTGAGGTGGCAGGGTGAGACTAGATGGCAGGGTATCATCTTGTAACTCGAGTGTTTGGGAGGGGACCTAAGCAACAGAATGGTAATTTTTTGACAAGTAGCATCTATAGTTATTGGATAACTTCCATTTTGAAAATACTGAAAGAAGGCCAATGATAAAGAATTTTACACAAAATTATCATGACAGTGAGAAACAATCACTCAAGTTATGAATTTTCATCACTTTCAGTCATAAATTTCAATATTCCATTACACAATATGATAAATATGATTCAGCAAAGCATCAAGACATATAATTATGAATTTCCATCAAACAAAAATACAAACAAATAAGCAAAGCGGCACATCAATAGCATAGTAAATCAATGCAAATGAGTACCACAACACATGGAATCCAATCAAATAAACAAATAATCCAAGCTAGAAGGTATAGCATCAAGAATTCAAGCAATTAAGTAGAGTTCAAAGAATGGAATAGATTAGAGTTTGGGAGATTGAAGGAGAGGAAGACTGTTTTAATTTCAAAAATTGAGGAAATTGATAGGAAGAGGAAGGTTCTCTAGGATAGGGAGACAAGGAGTTGAGGTGGAGTTGTAAGAAAGGGCTAGAGGTGACTCTTCTTAGGGAGGAAATTAGTTGGAAAGAAAATTCGAGAGAGAAGTGGATTAAAGAGGGGAACGATAACACTCGATTCTTTCATTCAATTGCTAATGGAAAAAGACAAAAGGGTTTTATTTCCTCTCTATCGGTGGTGGTGGGGGTGTAGAAACCACAGATCAAGGTGAGGTAGCAAAGGCCTTTGTGGAACACTTTAAATCAATTTATAGAAGGCCACTCAGTTGGTCAGTGGGAGGATTTAATTGGAATGTGCTAGAAGCTAACCAAATGGACTTTTTGGAAAGAAGGTTTGAGGAGGAAGAAATTAAGGCAACAGTTTTTTCTGTGGATAGGTCAAAGGCACCAGGGCCTGATGGTTTTACAATGGCCTTTTATCAAGATTGTTGGGACATTACTACGTGTGATTTGATTAAAGTGTTCAGGGAGTTTCACAGAAGGGGCAAAACCAGTTTGGGGATGAACTCAATTTTCATTACCTTGGTCCCGAAGAAGACTTATGCTTGCAATTTGAGAGACTTTAGGCCGATCAGTTTAGTAACAAGCATTTACAAATTGATTGCCAAAGTGTTATCCCTTAGGGTCAAAAGGGTGCTTCCTTCATTAATCTCCCAGTCTCAAGGCGCCTTTATTCAGGACAGACAAATTGTTGACTAGATCTAAATTGCAAATGAATGTGTAGAGGCCCAAAAAAGATCAAAGAATAAGGGAGTAGCAACCAAATTGGATTTGGAGAAAGCTTATGACCTAGTGGATTGGGAATTTATTATCAAGCAGGATTTGTGGGTTTTGGGAGTTGTGGTGCAAGTGGAATAAAGGTTGTTCGGAAACTAGCCATTTTTCAATAACTGTCAATGGTTTGGTCATTGATTTTTTTAAGGGCTTATAGGTTTAAGACATGGTGATCCCCTCTCTCCCTTTTTCGTCATGTTGGCATCTTAGGTCCTTAGTAAACTGATTTCAAGAATCAGTTGTTTGCAGTTGTTCAGAGGCTGGTTGTTAGGGAGAGATAGGGTTGTGGTGACTTATCTCTAGTTTGTAGATGATATTTTAATCTTCTGCAATGAAGAGAATAGGGAGGGGATTAAGAATTTGAAGGGATCTTAGGGTTGTTCTAGAGACTTTGGGTTGTGAGAGTGGAGAGTAGCCTCTAAGATATTTAGGGCTGCCTTTAGGTGGTAACCCTAGATTGTCTAGTTTTTGGACTCCAGTGGTGGAAGGGATTGAGAAAAAGGCTTACTGGCTGGAAAAGGAACTATATCTCTTTGGGTGGAAGAATAACTTCAATTAAATAAATTATTTCTTCTAGTTTATTTTATGTCAATCTTTAGGATGCCTCAAGTAATGGTGAAGTGAATTGAGAAGTTAATGAGGGATTTTCTTTGGGAACTGGGAGGGGGTAAGAAAGATCACTTGTTAAGATGGGAATTAGCGGCGAAAAGGAAGGAAGAAGGGGGTTTGGGTATTGGGAATGCGAGTCTGAAAAATCTGGCTCTTTTGAGTAAGTGGCTTTGGTGATTACCTCTAGAAAGTGACAGGTTGTGGCATAAAATTGTGACTAGTATTCATGGGGGATCAAGGAATGGATGGGAAGCTGGTTGTCTATATAGAGATACTCTTTTTGCACCTTGGAAAGCTATACACGGTATCCTCCCTTGTTTTCTTAACTTCGTAAAATATGATTTGGCTCCCAGATAAGATTCCGAGAGGATGTTTGGGTTGGGGAATCTCCATTGAGAGATGCTTTCCCTTCCCTCTTTGCTCTTTCTAGCCTTAAGATAGGTTTGTGCCTGATTTCATTCAACATCATCATTCTTCCTTCGGTCTGAGTTGGATTTGGGCTTTACTAGAAACCTTAGAGAGTTGGAAATCCTGTTATATCCAACCTGTTGAACATTCTGGGCTCCATTTTCTTTGATATGGAGGGGAGAGATGCACAAATCTGGTCCCTTAACCCTGTAGGGGCTTTCTCAAGTAATTCATTCTAGTCTCTTATTTCTACTTCCTCCTCCCCCTCCTTTCCTGTTAAAGAGGTTTGGTGTATTCCTATTCCTCCTAAGGTGAGTGTTTTTTGCTGGGAAGTTGTCCATGGATGTATTAACACATGACTTGCTTCAGAGGAAAGGGCCTAAGTGGTTCTTGTCTCCCAACTAGTGTGTTCTTTGTAAGCTGAATGATGAAACCATGAGACTGCTTTCATCTCTTAATCTCCTGTCCCTTTGTTTGCTATATCTGGGGGTGGTTTCTTTTTTTCTTTTTTTTGGTTGCAGATGGTCTCCTGCCAATTTGGAGAGGTTGTTTAGCCCTACCGTGTTGAGGAGAAAAAAAGGAGGGGCAAAATCCTGTGGAGATGTACAAGAGCAGCAGTGGTCTGGACTGTGGGAAGAAAGAAATACAAGAAACTTTGGGGAGAAGGAGAGAAGTAAAGAGACAGTTATAGAGACCATTACCTTTAGGGTTGCTCATTGGGATAAGACCTTGAAACTTCACAGATTTCAAGGTGAATTTTTTCTGGAGTTGGGGGGGTGGTATTGCAGAAATTCCTCTAGGAAACCAAAATTCTTAGAGGTTTGGTCACCCTCAGGGGAAGGTTGGTTGAAACTGAATTTTGATGGCAGCAGTATGGGTAACTCAGGCCCCTTAGGAATTGGAGGAGTACTTAGAGATGAGGATGGTGCTATTTGTGCCTTGTTCTCAGGCCCAATTAAGCAGGGTGATTTGGCCAGAGCAGAATTTCTAGCAGCACTCTGTGGGATTGAGAAAGCCAAGGAAATAGGAGTTAATAGGCTGATAATTGAGGGTGACTCTAAGATTGTAGTGAGACAGTTGAAAAATGAATAGGAGTGACTTGGCAATTGAAAAATGAGTTCCGGTGTTTTAAATTGCCTGCAAAAGACATGAATGTTCAAGTTAGATGGGTCAGAAGATCAGCTAACAGCTTGGGAGACAGTCTTGCTAAGCAGGGGGTTCAGAGAAACAGATGTTTTGGCCATTTGGGCATACTTGTAGTTTCAGTTGGGGGTTAATTCTGTAAAGGGCTTGCTTAGTTGCTTTTTATCACAACTTCTTTTTTGTACTCTGTTGTTTCTCATTATTAATAAAATTCTGACTTTGTGTTGCTGATAAAAAAGTAATGAACAACATCCTGTTATATGTACACTATGATTTTATGTATCATAGAGCACAAAAAAAATACAACATTGTGTACAGCATATGATAAGTTGCCTATGGAAGTCATGAAAAACATCAAAATATTAGTCAAGACTTCTGGTGAGATTCTGATGACGTTAAAAAGGAAAGGGATCATTTGTTAAATTGTGTCTCTATGTGCAGAAGTAAAGAAGATTAGGACCTTGCTTCAGGTAGGCCAAGGAAAAATACCTCCATTGTACAGAAACAGTTGTGGTTGTGCTGTTCTATAGAGAGAAGCAGACCTTTGGCATTCAATTATCAATAGCAAGTACCTTATTCACTTAAATGGTTGGGACTCTAGACTAGCGATAGAGTCAACCAAAGTGCCCTTGGAAAAGCAATAAAAGCTATTCAATCTTGATTTGACAGGAATATCAGGTATTCTCCTATCTAAATTCCCAGAGAGATTTTTGAGGACCTCTTTCTGAGGTCAGGTACCTTCTATTCCAGATAACCTAGATTTTT